TCCCTGGGGAGATGGCCAGGCCGCAATCCCTTCTCCTTCATTCTCCTCTTGGGATCTTGGGCGCACACACGCACCCGGTGAGAGTTTAAGCTGCCGGGTTCAGGACCCGAACCATGGTCGACTACATGCGAGTCCAGCGACACAGCCATTACGCTAACTGCTAGTCCCATAGCTTTGCTTTTTAATATACATTTTAGAGTTCTTACCATTCATGTTTCAAATTCTAAATGAGATTTTTATAAATGACATTGAAAAAATGCTTTAATATTTGAAATATATGGGACCCGCAGGTGGCATGGTGGTTGGGGCGCTGGACACTCCCACATGGCTGACCATGGTTCGATTCCCAGACCGGGAGGCTTGCTTTCTCGCTTCCCCTCTTTCTCTCTCACTCTCTCTCTCCGTGTCTCTCGCTGTCAAATTAAAAATAAATGAATGAATAAATAAACTTTAATAAATAATTTAAAAATATATTTGAAATATAAACTGCATACTGTTAAAACTATTTTTATTTTAAGGAAGAAGAAGTTTCTCCACAACTGTTTACTTTCCACGAAGCTGTTTCACAAATGGTAGAGATGGAAGAACAGGTTGTAGAAGATCACAGAGCAGTATTTCAGGTAAACAAAGAAAGGACCTTTCAATAAAATATTTCCTGAAATAAGTTAACAACTTTTATTATACTTTGAATATCACATTTATTCTTTTAAGCAATTGTAGATGTGTTATTTGTAGGGCATATATCATGGCAGTTTTCGAATAGAATGAATAATAGCTACAAACAATATTTCTTTTCATTATAGTCAAAAGATGTACTTGAAAATTATACTAGGTGCATGTATGTGCATGTCCAATCCTGAGAAGAGAACAGAAAAGAAGGAATTGGTGTAACCATCCCTTCTGAGAGCTGACTTCTCATTTTCTCTTCCTCAGTCTCTCTGGCGAGCACACATACCCTATGACCAAAACCTTTAAAAAAAAAAAAAAAAAAGAACTGTTAGGGTTTTAATCAAATTCTTATGAGAATCTTTTTAAAGACCTGATTGTTTACATTACTGAGAATGGACAATTGGAATTTAAGAAAATTATTGCCTATACCCTATAGAATAAAGTATTATAGAGAAAGACCATCATTTCTCACTTTGCTGTTTTATGGATGAAATCTATAAAATGTTATTTGTTGGCAGAACTAGGTGTTCAGACTTCAATCCAGTTTTTTTTTTTGTTTTTTTTTTTTTAAAGAGAGATTTTTGCTATAGGGCCCATGTGCTTGCTGGAGAGACAGAGAAACAGAAAACAAGAAATCACCCCCAAGCAGGGATGGCCATGCTTCAATCCCTTCTCCTCCATTCTCCTCTCAGGATCTTGGGCACACATGCATGCCTTGGCTGAGTTTTAAGCTGCCCGGCCCAAGATTCTAACCATGGTCAACTTCATGGGAGTACAGTGATATAACCATTATACCATCTGGTGGTCCCTCAATCCATTATTTCTTTTACAACTCCAGATAGTCTTCCATACTGTCATCTGCCATTTCTCAGAATAGGGTTTTGTTAAATAAAAATTAAATGTATATCTAAAGGAAAAGGGGAAAACATTGCAATATATTGGGGGTTTTAATTGATATATATTTTTTTCTAATAGATACCTTTGCCTAGTTTAACTAGTTCTGTTAGTTGATATTTATATATCATATATATACATATATGTGTATATACACACACACACATATATACACACGCACTTGTAATTAGCCATTAAAGTGAATTTGTTTGGAAAACAGATAGTATGCCTAAAATGCTGGAAAGTGCCTATTTTTTAGTTCAAAAACTCTTTAGGATAGAATAGTCTTACTTTCTTAATAACCCATATGATTTATGACATTGCTAGAAGATGAAGCTGTTAGGTTCCTCATATCTGAAATCAGTTAATCATGGTGCATTTTTTGATTAGTAAGTAGCTACTATTCAGTGGCTCATTTGACTTTTCTAAGATTGGTTATTTATTGGTCCCTTATAGTTACAATAGCTTTGAAGGGCTGGGTTTTGTTTAGATGTTTAGAATTTAAGGCTTATCTCTTGGCCCAATCATTGTGAGAATCCAACTGGATAAATTAATTCCAAGTGACTTAGAAGTTCTGGAGAACCATAGCGCCCATCACATTGTTTAGTAGCTTTATTACGTCCATTCTTCATTCTCCAGCTGCAGGGACAGCTGTTAGGTTTTGAGACTTCCCCTGCTTCTTGATACTGGGTTGTCAAAAAAGTCATTACACATTTTTGCAACAAATAGCTCTAGTTTATTTTTGGAAGTATTAGAGTCATTTGCATCTGTTATTGCTATGTCATTTGACAGCTGAGAATTCTGGCTTCATTCTAAAAAAAATAATAATAAGCAATTTGGTTGAGTTTTGAAGATTTTACAAGCTGAAGATAGATGATCAAACTGTGCCTTTTTGCCATCATTTACTGTTTTACTTCTGTAAAGAGAAGAATACATGTCAAGCTTGTGAAAAGTGGTGTGAAGTTGGGCTGGCAGATGGCATGGTGATTAAGGGCGCTGGACTCCCATGTGGCCAACTATGGTTTGAGTCCTGGACCTGGTAGATTCCTTTCTCATTTTCTCTCTCTCTTGCTCTCACTCTCTTTCTGTCCCTCTCTGGTCAAAGTAAAATAAGTAAATAAAGTTAAATGATTTTAAAAAAAATGTTTTGTAAAATTTACAATGACAATGTTCTATAAGAACTTCAGTGCTAGTGATGGTTCATGAAATTCCATGCTGGTGATTTTGATCTCCACAATGCTCCTTGGTCAAGGAAGCCCACTGAGATTGATGGTGACCAAATAAAGGCATTGATCAAGTCAATCTCAGGTTATGTGACACAAGAGGTTGCAGAACATTGAATAGCCATCATACAAACGTTCATGACCTCTCAAAGAAGCTGGAGGCAAACTTACTATTTAGGTTCCTTGTGGACTCACATTTATTTGATGGCACGTATAAACATCTGCAATATGCTCATTAAATGTGAAGAAATGATCTTTTTTGAAGCAGGTGATAACTGGTGATGAGAATTGGATTGCTTACAACAATGTGGTATACAAGCGGTCTTGGTTATCATGTGATGATTCACCTCAAACAATCTAAAGCAGACATTCATCAAAGGAAGGTTATACTCTCAGTGCGGTGGAATCTTAAAGGTGTCATGTTTTTCAGGCTCCTACCAAGGAACCAAACAATCAATTCTTTTTTTTTTTTTTTCCAAAACAATCAATTCTGAGGTATACTCTCTACAATTAGACCATTTGAATGAATCCGTCATCCAGAAACATCCAGAGGTTGTTGATTGTAAGGGAGTTCTGATTCATCATGACAATGTGAGCCCACACAAAAGTTTGATAACCCATCAAAAATTATAGGAGCTTGCTAAATGATGTATATGTGATTAAATGTATAAATAATAATAATAATAATTGGGCAGCAGGTGGTGTGGTAGTTAAGACGTTGGACACTTCCACATGGCCGAATATGGTTCGAATCCTAGACCTGGTGGCTTGCTTTCTTACTGTCCTTCTCTCTTTGTGTCTCTTTCTCTGGTCAAATGAAAATGATTGAATAAATAAAGATAAATAAAGGATTCTTTTAAAAATAATAAAAATTATTGGAGCTTGGATAGGGCTTGTTGCCATACCTATCATACTTGCCTGACCTTGTGCCATCAGACTTCCCACTTGTTTCTTCTCTCTCTTCAAAAACTCCTTGCATGGTGTAGCAATTCACATTAGGCTGTAAATCAGCACCTTGCTCAGTTTTTTCCAATAAAGAGAGGTCCTTTTATGATCAAGAAATTATAAATCTCACTGAAAGATGGCAAAAGGTTATTGAACAAAACAGGCAATATCTCATTGATCTTTGTTCTTTATATAAATAAGTGACCTTTGAAAAACATAGAATTAATACCTCATGACTTTTCCAACAGCCCATTATGTTTGGTTCATTTCCTCCCTAAAACACCCAAGGTAGAATAAAAGTAGAAAAATGAAGTCCATCTTGCTGCTTGGCCTGGGCCTATCATACATGCATTTGTGTTAGAATTTAAGGAAACGTTTGTTGATTTTACTGTCTGTGAATAAAGATGTGTTATTTTCATGAATACTATGTTAAGTATGTTTGATTATATTTAACAGAATTTGTAAATTAGTTTCAAAGAGGCTTACTGAATTATTGAATTTTTCTCCTTTCAGGAGTCTATTCGATGGTTAGAAGATGAAAAAGCTCTCCTAGACATGACTGAAGAAGTAGACTACGATGTAGATTCATATGCTACACAACTTGAAGCTATTCTTGAGCAGAAAATAGACATTTTAACTGAGCTGCGGGGTAATTATTTTACTTTAGTGTTTGAAATCTGCTTGATTTTGGTATGTATATTAGTGGGAAGATTTCCTGTTGCAAAAGGACATCCAGGGTCTGAATCCCAGGACCTCCTCTCCATGCCAGGCTTATAAATGTGTGTGCCCGTGATCTGGACTGGCTAAGACTGAGAGTTGATCATGGTATATGGGCCCTATTGTCAGTGGTTCTTGGCTATCTCTGTATCAGAAGAAATAAACAATTAAAAGGGGGGGGGCAGCAGGTGTGTATAGTGGTTAAGGTACTGGACTCCTACATGGCCGATTACAGTTTGAGTCCTGGATCCAATGGCTTGAAATTCAATGCTGGGTACATGTGTATGTGTAGCCAAAATCCCAGCAGGAGAATGGAGGAGAAAGGACTGTGGTATGACCATCCCCCTGGGAAGTGATTTCATTCTTTCCCTGTACAGCACATGGATGCGCCCTATGGCCAAAACCTTAAAAAAAAAAAAAGAAAATGATTAAAGGAAGACTTTATTTTAACAAACTTGAGGATTTTATTTATCCATTCAGATCTTTAATTTGGTAGGCTAATAGTCTTCAAAATTATTTTTCTTGAATTAGGTCTCTTTATGGTCATCTTTCAGTAGCCTTCTGTCCGCATCTACTTTTTTTTTTTTTTTTTTTTACCATTTATGCTACTTGTTTTTATAAAATGAAGGGGAAGGAGGTGTCAAAATGATTACCTTTTCCTACCATCTTGAAGGGAAGCATGTGGCTTACCCACATCCCATATCTTTTTTGACCTTTTTTTTTTTTTTTTTTTTTCCATTATGAGAAAGAGAAAGAGAGGCAGACATAGCTTTTTGTGGGTTTTTGTTTTTGTTTTGTTTGAAATTTGCTAGAAGGCATGTGTGTTCACCAGTGATGGAGAGGAAGACAGGACTTCCTAATGTTGCATGATCACACTGCAATCTCCTCCCCTCTATTTCTTTATCCTTTTGGAAATTGGGGCATGCACATACACACGCCCAGTTTGTTTTTCAGGCTGTTGGGTCTGGGATTCAAACCATACAGCCATGTGGGATCCGCCTCCTTTAACTAATAGGCCATGGAGCTGGCTCAAGATAGGTGTCCATGAAAAGGTCTTACCATGTGCTGATTCTCCTACTCCAGCTCCCCAGTTACGTAGAACCACAGGCACACATGTGACTGTGTTAATCATGTTTAGGCTGGCCTTAAAATAGAACCTGGGCCTCTTATGTGCCTACCAGCTTTCATGCAATGGCACTACTTTTATACCACTGCTGCTAGGCTCACTGTGGCTTCTTCTTTTTTTTTTTTTGAGAGGTTTTTGCTATAGGGTGCATGTGTTCACCAGAAAAACAAGAGCTAGAAAGCAAGAAATCACCCCCCAGGAGGGATGGCCACACCACATTCCCTTCTCCTCCATTCTCCTCTTCTCAGGATTCTGGGCATGCATGCACATGTGCCTGGCATCAGTTTAAGCCACCGGGTCTGGGACTCGACTAGACTCGAACTGCAGTTGACCAGATGGGAACCCAGCGACATAGCCATTACGCCAACTGCTGGTCCCCTATCTTTGGCTGTCTTTACAAACATTTACTTATTTATTTATCTTAAAGAATTATTTATTTAATTCCATTTGTTGTTGTTATTTTAATTGTATCAGACCTGGGGGGAGGGAAGGGGGAGAAATGAGAAAGCAAGCCCCCAGGTCTAGAACTTGAACTGTGGTCGGCCATGTGGGAATCCAGCGCCTTCACCACCACACTGTCTGCTGGTCCTGGTCCCTGTTTATTTAAGAGGGTTTTTGTTTGTTTGTTTTAGGGCAAAAGACAGACAGTAAGTGAGAAATCACTCCCCAGGGAGATGGCTATGCTTTCCTGTGTACCTTCAGATACACATTACTTATATATGCTGATTTCTTAGGCACTGCAAACTAATGGCTCTGTTGATGTAATAGGTTGTCTGTCTGTTTACATGAAACCAGATTGAGATTCCTGGTTTGCAGCAATAAATAAACTGCTGCATTTTTTAAAAAGCAGTCCCTTCATAAAGTTATTTGAAATCATGTCTCATAAAGTCAGCAGTGACTATTAACCTAAAATTTACATCTGTTCCTCATGTCACTTGTATTCAAACCTTGCTTTAAACTTTTTATCTTTTTTAATCTGTAGTAATTTAGTTGGATTTTCTGTATGCATTTTACTCAGAAGATAGAGTAAATGTGCTTTATAATATTTTTTCTTGGTGATATATATCATTCAACTTAATTAACTTCCTTACCTTAATTTTCTCAGATCTTTTTTATATCTAGCATGATCAGTTACTTCAAAGGAATCTACTACCTAGATACTGCATTATCTAGTCTTTTATTTATTTATTTATTTTTACCATTCAGAGATAATTTTTGTAAAGAATTTTTATTTAACTTTATTTATTTATCTTAATTTGACCAGAGTGAAAGATAGAGAGAGAAAGCAAGAAAGCAGGCCAAGTCCAGGACTCAAACTGTGGTCAGCCATGTGGGAGTCCAGTGCCCTTAACTACCACACCACCTGCCAGCCCTAGAGATAATTTTTGATTTATACAAGAAATTCAAGAGCTATATTAAATCAGGCATGAGATTCCAAAATGTTTAAGCATCTTTCTAAATTTCAGAAAATTTAACTTTTTAACCATTACTGTGCTTTCTGAGAAGGGGAAGAAAATTAAAATTCCACCTTTTTATCTTTTCCTTCTAAAGGTTATAGAGCAGAGTTTTATAACCCTGGCATTATAAACATTTTGGGCCTGGCAGCTCTTTGTTGGGGGATGCTGTCCAGTGCATTATACAGTATTTACTAGCATATTTGGTATCTATTCATTAGGTTACAGTGGCACCACACTAGTCATAACAACCAAAGATGTGTCTAGACATTACAAACTTTTCCAGGGGAGCAAAAATCGTCCCCAGTTGAAAACCACTGTTCTCTACAAAAAAAGGGGGGGTGGGGCAGCAGTTAGCGTAATGGCTATGTCACTGGACTCCCATATAGTCAACCACGGTTCACATCCTGGACCTGGTGGCTTGAAACTCACACCAGGCGTGTATGCGTGCGTGCCCAGGATCCCAAGAGGAGAATGGAGAAGGGATTGCGACATGGCCATCCCCCCTGGGGGGTGATTTCTCACTTTCTGTCTGTCTGTCTGGCCTGCTACATGCGCCCTGTAGCAAAAACCTCTCCCAAAAAAAAGAAAGAAAACCACGGAAAAGATAGTGGTTCTTTCCAGCTGCCTGCCATTTGCCCCTGACAATTTACTAACCTATGTATCTAGACCACAATATGATAGGTAGTATGACATACTGTATAAGAATCAGAAATCTAGGGACAGCTGGTGGCATGGTGGTTAAGATGGCTGGAATCCCAGATGGCCCAGTGTACAGTTTGAGTCCCAGACCTGGTGGGACTTGGTAGCTTGAAAGACACGCCAGGCACATGTGCGTGCATGGCTGAAATCCTGAGAGGCAAATGGGGGAGAAGGGGTTGCAATGTGGCCATCCCCCTCTGGGAGGTGCTTTCTGTCTTTCTCTCCAGTGAGTATGCATGCCCTATAGCAAACAAAATAAAACTATTGTGCGTCAACCTTCCTTCATATACCCTGATGAGGAAAAATGTCATTGCTTTGGGAAGTGGAAATTTCCTAATATTGAAAGAAAAACTATATATTTTGCACATATATAAAGTCTACCCAGTAGCGATTCAGATGAAGTTGAACACTATAAAGAGTGCCAAATAGAATAGAAACCTGTAATGAAACTGTTGTTACATCTGAGCATTGTATTTAGTTCTGAGTTTCTAGATAACAACCAAAAACAGAAAAATGTTGAGTTTTGAAATAGGAGAGCTGATTTGATAGGATCCTGAAGTTGTATACTTTGTTGGCAGGTGATATACTTACTCCCTTGTTCTTTTCTTTTTACAAGATAAAGTGAAGTCTTTTCATGCAGCTCTACAAGAAGAAGAACAAGCCAGCAAGCAAATCAACCCGAAGAGACCCCGTGCCCTTTAAATCGGCATTTGCTGCTAAAGGATCCCCAGAACCCTCATTACTGGAACATACAATGGTTTAGCTGTAAGGGCCCCTTGAAAGTTTTGAAATTTTAAGTGTCTGTGGAAAATGTCTTGTCCTTCACCTAAATGACATTTCAGTTTTGTGAAACACTCCTTTGTGTACAAAATGCTTCTAGTCCAGGAGGCACAACCAAGAATTGGGATTAGTGAAGCATTTTGTTTCATCTGCCCAAATGATTTACTTTTGGAGATCCTTGCCAGTTTTATTTTCTATGTGATTAAATAAGATTGTGGACTTGATCCAGAGGTGGAGAGTAGGGGGAAGCCACAGGATTTCCTTTTAACTCCGTTCAATTTTTGTAGCGAGACAAGTTTCAGATCCTTTGCGTGCATGCATACCTCATCGGTGATTGTACATACCTTGCCCACTCCTAGACAGCTGTGCTCTCCTCTTCCTGCTTTGTGCCTTGACTAAGGCTATCGACCCTAAATTTCTGAAGCACAGCCAAGAAAAATTACATTCCTAATTTGTCATTGTAAATTACCTTTATCGTGTGTACATTTTTACTGTATTTGAGACTTTTTGTGTGTGACTAGTTAATTTTGCAGGATGTGCCATATCATTGAACGGAACTAAAGTCTGTGACAGTGGACATAGCTGCTGGACCATTCCATCTTATATGTAAAGAAATCTGGAATTATGATTTTAAAACCACGTAACATGTGATTATAATTTTCTTAGCATTTTCTTTGTAAAGAACTAAAATATAAACTAGTTGGTGTATAATAAAAAGTAATGAAATTCTGAAAAGAGTTTTATCTTAGGATAATACATATATATGCAGTGTGTGTGCCAGTGTGGTATTAACAAGATTAATAGTGCAATTTGATCCTTACAGATACCATTACTTGAGTTGAAGTGTTCATTAGCACCCCAAAATATACCTTAATGTACTGTTACAGGAAATTGGCTTCTGATGCATGAACATTTACATGTACCTTGAAAGTAGTCCTTAATAGGAGATAGTTTAAGCCAAGAGTAGACAGTACATAACTCCCTTGCAAAAGAATTAAGCTGTAAGAGTTGACTTTGCCTTGAAAGGCAGATCTAACCCAAGCTCCACCTAGTACCTAAAATATGGTATTTCACCATTAATTGGTGAGAATCATTAAATTCTCACCAATAGATTGGTGTAGGGCATGCTACTTTTTAAATGGCAGCACTTATTTTTACAGATTGCTATTCCAAGAAGAAAACTGGCCACTTTTCATGTAAATATTTTGTTAAAAGATTTATATAGCTCTCTAGGAGTTTTCCCTCTGTTCCCAGGAAAGAGTCCTGGAGTAGATTAACAACCAAAAAACTCCTAAGGGTACATTGTTTTGATTTACTCTACTACTAGGGAACTACAAGCTCATTCACCTGGGCCTAAGGGAAGCTATGAATAGAGAGTCACATGAGCCAGATTCTCTACTTCACTGTTCATAAAACTCCAAGTTGTGAGAAATCCTAACACCATGGTGAAAAGTTCTATAAACATGAAATCTGAAATAAATGTAGATTTTCAAAATAATGCTTATTAATAAATGAAATTTATGGAATGAGTTTTAGAGGTAATTTACTTCAATACAATCACCTTTGTTTTGGAAGGGACTCAGGTTTTCTTGCGGTTGTAAGATATATTCTATTTGTGTTTATTTTGAAAAGAAGAAGAATGGAACTGTTATTATTGACCTTGGAGAGGCTGTCAAAAAAAAGGTAGTTTTTTGAGACTAACCAACATTCAAAGGGCAATAAAGACATATGAACTTGCTCATTTTAAAGCACAACAGATTCGTTTTACCATTTGCATTAGATGGGTACTATCTTTGGAAGGTCTCCTTATAGACAAGTACGCTGCCTTATACTATAATGCCTTTATTTTGATCAATAGACAAGGTATTTAAAAAAATTAGTACCAGAAAGTATCTTGGAGGTAGGTAGTGTAATATAGTCCTTCAGTTTTATGGATAGAGAAAACTGAAGGCCAGAAAAGGAATTAAATCTCGACAGTTTACAGGCATAAAGGGAAATAACCTAAGCAAGCTGAAATAAATCTTAAATTTTTCTATAAGGATAGAGATGGTACAAGTAGTCTGGTGAGATTAAAAGAAATCCATCCTTATGTATAGTTAATATTCATGAAACAAAAGTGGCTAATGCCATGAAGTAATGAATTGTTTTATTCTGGATTAAATATTAATACTCTCTCAGACTTAAAAGCTGATATTCCTATTAGTAAGTAATTAAGACCATACAATATTTTAATTATAACATTTTCTATGTGACCTTGAAGCCAGTTTTCAAACAGAATCTGGGCAAACAAATTATCCTCCCCTCTAGGTTTACTCTGTGTACCTTTGCTAAATTAATTGGCAGTCCTCCTATTGAATTAGGTATTAAAAAAGCCAAATATCAAGGAAGTTATTTTTATTAATTTTATTATATAAATAAAATAGTTTCAATAATTATTTTATTAAAGTATATTAACAGCACTTAGTATTATATTGGTTTAAACATAGTAGCTAACAAAAATTTTTAACATCTTTTGAAATTCTCAGTCCATAGTTTTAAAATAGCTTGAAACTATGCATCAGGTATATATATGATAACATACTGGAAATTTTAATTATCCAGAAGTCATATGAATACTGTGAACATGTAGTTGTGAAAAAAAAATTTTTTTTTTTTTTTGAGTTGAAGGCAGAAGTCTTAACTTTAAAGCCTGTTTTGATTTGTAAAGCCCTTCGAAGTTTGGTTAAACCTATTATTTCTCTAAGAAAAACCATAATTTTATAGTTTCATTCTAGTTGAGCTTCCTCACTGTACAGGTAAGAGATCATGTCCAGAATATGCCTGGCACTGCACGGCGGCAGTAGCCAAGTCAGGCTTATCCAGAACACGAATGTAGTCCATGATTCTATAGGATAGCTAAAGAGGTTGGCAATAATGGAAGAAACTGTATAGGATAAACAGCAAAAAGAATGAGAAGCAAAGTAAAAACATTTTAAGAAATGATTGTTTTGCTGTACATGTGAATAACATGTGAAAATGGTAATGGGAACTATGTGACTAAGCACATTTAATTATTTTACTACTTGAACAGAGCTGAAGGCCTATAGAGGGCCTCACAGTAAACAGAAATGTAACATCTTTATTACAACAATTAGAAATGGTTAGTTTAGGTGTAAAAATTGTGCGTATCTGCGGCTCTTGAAGAGTATGTATAAATTGGACCCTGCCCTATGTTATACATTAGAAACCAAAGCTAAAAAACTTGCCACCTTAAAAATTCAGAGCAAAAAACAGTGACAACAATATTAAATCAAAATAGTTAAGCAAATTATGTCCCAGTGGAGCAAAAGCATAGGTTATCTTCTTAAATATATGAAAAATATAGAATTCATTTCCTTTCTTGACCTTGAATAATTTATCTTCCAAATGCCTAGGAAAAATGGATACCTTCTGCATTGAATCCATGTAGCAGTCTGAAAAAAGAAACCAAAAGGGATGGTATTTGAAAAGCTAATTTGTAGCACATAATGATACAATAGTTCTATACTATTCCAATAGGAACAGATCAGCTTACTTATGCAGCCCACCCATTCCTAGCACTAGTCATTAAAGAAACCTTACTCTTCAGTGAAATTATAGATTGGTTAAACCCATGTCACATTGGTGCCTCTTTCATTGTAGCCTAATGTCTTAAGTTATAATGGATTTAACTAGAATTATCTTATACTTCTGCTATCCCAGGCCTAAGAGCTCAGCAGCATTCATTTCAACATGGTAACTAAAGATGCTGTTTGGGATTAGAGGCAGAAGTCAGATGAATATCCAATCTTAAATACCCATTCTTCCTTGAAAAGTCACTGAGGTTCAAGGTAAATACATATTTTTTCACTCTGGATATTTATGTACTTGACAGATTCCAGTCAGTAAACTACAGATAGTCAGTAACCTTGAGAAAATTTAGTGACAGTGAAGGAAGAGAAAATACTTCTATTGAGACCTGAGATTATTTCCATGCCACCTCAGGAACAGGTCAAGTGAACTGAAATGTCTGAAAGAGCAAAGTGTAGGTAGGTACTTGTGAATAGTATTCAACTCCTAGGATTAACATCTAATAAAGACTCAGTAGTACTGCTAGCCAGCCAATTAAAATAGAAACTCCATTTGTCTTAGGTATCTAGAACTGTGTTTCCAACATAGAAAAAGTCAAACCAATGACTTTTACAATAAACTACCCTCATTTTTTATTCAGCCTCTAGAACATGGAAGCTTTAAAAGTGAATTAGCTAGTAGGCAAGATTTCTAAAAGCATTAACAGTGATTAAAAACAAGTACAGGTTAGTAATAACCTGGGTAATTAATTGAAGTCATGCTGTTTTCATAAGACTTATTTGTTTATTCAAAGAAAACAAATTTTGGTCTAAATTGGCTAGATAATTATGACACCCTTTAACTGAAGATGTGCATAACTTGTCTCAGGTCACAAAGCAACTAACTATATTACTAGATGGACAACCACATATGATTGTAGTGGACATTACTTCATGCTAACAGTCTATTTAACAAGAGCTATTCCCAGTAAGAAAGAATCAGATCCAGTTAAATGTATGTTTTTTTCCTACCTTACAGGCTACTTCGGAGGGAAAGCTGTTAAGAGTAAGACTATGAATGAGAGTTGGGGGAGGGGTAGAAAGAGAGGGACGTGCACACCACAACACACATCAACAGAGGTCATCTTCTGGCTCGGACTGTTCTTTACTACGGTTCTTAAAGAAAATGTTCATCCTGCTGCAGCTAACTAGCCTCCATCTTCTACACCAAATACGATTCCATGCCATGGAAGTGCTATGCAATAACTCTCACAGGTAGCACCTTATACCGTTTAAAAGCCTTTAAATCTCTAATCTGAAGGTGTCACAGTAAAGAAATGTAAACTCTTAGGAGAACAAAAATGTAATTACCTGATAAAGTCATCTATGTCCATGGAACGAGCCCGTTTGTCACTAAAACCTGTGCTGGTTAGGATTTGCTGTATTTTATCTGCTATGCTGAAATCTTCTGGTATTATCTATCAATATAAGATTCAGAATAAATGAACAACATATCTTTAATGAAGTCACCTTGACTCTTTTTTTTAGTTCAGTAAGTCATAAAACAAGTCACCTTCAATATATCTGTTCATTATAACTTGGAAACCCTGATTGGATAGGTCTTGGGTCTCTAGTTGAATGGTTGATCCTTACCACATTACAGCTATTCAGAATACCTTGAGTCACATAAGCACGTGTAATGTCCTTTTTCACCTATAAAATTATGAGCTATCAACTTCACACTACAAATAATTAAATCCAAACTAAAGTAACTATTAATCCTTTCAAAATAACTCACATTATCTTGCCACAAAGTCTACCTGGCTAATTTTTCTCAAGAGATAACCTCTCCAAACTCATGAATGTTAAGTATTTGATATTTAATTCACATCTTTTATCCAATTTCTTTTAATCCACCTTAATATTTTTCTACTTAGGCAAATATTTAATGACTTTTTTACACAAAAAAACAGAAAATAGACAGTGTATCTATTTTAAAATATCCATATATACATTAAGGTATTATGTGGTCTTAGTTACAAAGAATACAAAGGAAATTGACCTTTATCTCTCTGCTTTAATTACACTGAAAAGAACTAAAAAGTTGACTATATATGGTTATGTGGTTACACATTCAGACACCTGTTTAAACAAAGTGATGTACAGATAAGAGACATGAATGAGGCCTACAACCAAAAACCTACTGCTCAGCCTATACTTTATTCCAATTTCAACCTCTGGGTATTATACAAAGAAGAAAACTGTAGATTTGTAATTGCTTTCTATTTGTAAGCAACATATGGGACAGGATGGTCACAATTCAGAGGACAGCAAAATTATACAGTTGAATTTTTTTTAAAGCACCAGCAGATGGCATATGGTTACGTTGCTGGACTCCCACATAGTCGACATGGATTCAAGTCCCGGACACAGTGGTTTAAATCTCACGCAGGGTGCATGTGTGCTTGTGGCAGTTACCCTGGCAGAAAATTTTTTTCTGAGAGATTTTTTCTACAGGGAGCATGTATTTGTTGGAGAGAGAGGGGAAACCAAAATCACACCCCAGGGGAAATGGCCATGCCACAGTCCCTTCTGGGATTTTGGGCAAGTATGCACATGTAACTGAGGCAAGTCTTAAGCTGCCAGATCTGGGATTCAAACTGCAGTCGACCATGTGCGAGTCCAGTGCCTTAACCACTATACCACCTGCTGGCCCCTACACAGTTAAACTTGAAGCTAAGCAATCTACATGCGTCTAAGCTTTCAGGAACTTATAATTTAGGGCAATCTAACTGTTGCATGACTAAAAACAATTGTCAGTAGTTAAAGAGGAGAATGGAATAATCAAGGTTGCTCAGATTTATTTCACAGAATACAGGGCAGCACTGACCTGTCAAAATTTAAATCTTACTTGTGCTAGTTACACATTATAAACATCTTCTAAAGTTCTAAGGAATGTACAAAATAAAGAATCTCATGATTACATTAGATCAAGAATAAAAATAGAGGGACAATGGGCTGATCTTATTGCATAGGTGTTTAGGGAGCTGGATACTACATGGCTGACCATAGTTTGGGTCCCAGGCCCAGTGGTTTGGGAAAAACTAGGTATGTGTGCATGCATATCCCAAATCCTGACAGGATGGAGAAATGGAGAACAGGAATTGGTGTGATCATGCCACAGTGGGTGCTTTTTCCTTCTTTCTCTCCTCTCACTTAGTGTAGATTTGTAATTGCTTTCTATGTAAGCAACATATGATCTCTGACAATTAAAAAAAAAGGACTTTAAAAGACAACAAATTTGGGGCTGGCAGGTAGCGTAGTGGTTAAAGGCACTGAATTCCCACATGGCTGACTGTGATTTGAATCCTGGACCTGGTGGCCTGCTTTCTCACTTTCCCTTTGTCTCTCTCTGGCCAAATTAAAAATAATAACAACAAATATAATTAAATAAATAAATAATTCCTTTTAAAAAATAAAAGACAATCACTCGAATTACAGAAGCATTTTCTACTTACAGTATTATGGACTGAACAGTGAATTCTATAGTTTTTTTCCAACAGCTGTTGCACTGCGGTTGATCTGTAGCATAAAAAAGTGGTATCACTGTTGTTCCCAAACTGGAGATCACACAGTTTTCTTTCAGTTTAGACAAAACTAATTTCATGCTCCATTTGGTGAAATTAAGAAATTTTTAAAAAATATTTAAGTGATGAAACACTGATTATTGAAGAAGTTCTAGCCTCTCAAAAAAAAATCCCTAAAAAAAACAAAACATCTAAACTCTCTGAAACTGGCTTTCACTTCTCTTTTACCCTTAGATCCCAAATTGTGTTACATTTTTCTAGGTTAATAAAATGGCACAAATTCTTCACAAGTATGTAAGAGGTCTACAATCAATATATTTTTCTAACAAATAACTAGGCAAATGTATGCTCTGTTTTCTGGATATTTTTCTTGTTTTCCACAAAAATATAGGTGATTTCCAATTCCAGAAACCATTAAGTTCTACCACCCTCCCAAAATACAAACTTAGTTAAAAGCTGAAGCTTGCCTCACCATGGGTAATCCATGCTTTAGCAATGGTTGTTCAGGAAAAGAAATTCTAGCAAAGTCTAGCACTGTATCTGGAGCACTGATCTTTCATAACTAGAAATTAGTAAAATACTTACTTGAATGCAGCAGACAATGTCTTGTTTTTCCTAACAAAGGTAATCCTTACGAGGCCATCCCATTCCTATAAGAGAAGATGAATATTTTCTGCAAAATATCAAACTCATGTCTGTGCCTATAGGGTATTATTTTGTGTATTAAACCAGAAGAAACCTTCTGGAATGATGAAAATGTTCTTTATTTTAATCAGGCTGGCACACATGCAAAAGATGTATACAGGTGACCCTTGAATAACACAGGCTGGGATGCCAACTGCCTGCACAATCAAAAAAACCATGTAGGGGGACCAGCAGTTAGCATAATGGCTATGTCACTGGACTCCCATGTAGTCAACCGCGGTTCGAGTCCCAGACCCAGTGGCTTAAAACTCGTGCCGGGCGTGTGTGCGTATGTGCCCAAGATCCTGAGAGGATAATGGAGAAGGGATTGTGGCGTGGCCATCCCCCCTGGGGGGTGACTTCTCACTTTCTGTCTCTCTGTATCTCTGTCTGTCTGGCAAGCGCACGCGTCCTATAGCAAAAGCCTCTCAAAAAACCAAACAAAACAAAAAACATATATAACTCTGACTCCCTCAATCCTTCAATACTTTACTAGTAGCATACTGTTGACCAGAAGCCATATGATAACAGACATTAATACATATTTTATATGTATACTGTATTTTTAAAGGAAGCTAGAGGAAAAAAGTAGAGAAAACCGTAAAATAAATTTTTACTCTTGTATTTTTCGATGTTTATTAAAATATGTAAGGTAACCCATGTAGTTCAAACCCGTGTTGTTCCAGGTGTTGTTATTCAAGGGTCAGCTATACTTTTTGCACTTTTGTGCAACCATCTTAAAAACATTATTTATTTATTTAACTTTGTTATTCTTTTTTAATTTGACCAGAGTAAGACAGACAGAAAGAGAAAGCAAGAAAGCAAGCCGCCAGGTCCAGGACACAAACTGCAGTTGACCTTGTGGGAGTCCAGTGCCCTTAACCACCATCCACCTGCTGGCCCCTATGCAACCATTTTTTTAAGGTTTTTGCCATAGAGCACATGTGCTCACCAGAGAGAGAAAGAGAGACAGTGAGAGGGAAAGTAAGCAATCACCCTCTAGGGATGGCATGCTGCAACCCCTTCTCCATATTCCTGGGATTTGGGGCATGCAAGCACATGCTCCCAGTGTGATTTTCAGGCTGCTGAGTTCAGGACTCAAACCATGCTCAGCCATGTGGGAGTTTGGGAGTCTAGCACAGTAACCACTATTCCACCTGCTGACCCCACCTCAGTATGTTTCATTCTCATTTATCATTATTTTTCAAAAATTATGTAATTTGGCGGCCGGCAGATGGCATGGTGATTAAAGGTGCTAGATTCTCACATGGCCAACTGTGGTTTAAGTCTCAGACATGGCAGCTTTCTTTCTTGTTCTGTCTCTGTCTGGTCAAATTGAAAAAAACAAAACAAAACAAAACAGTAATAACAAATGGAATTTTAAAAATAAGTAATTAAAAAAAACTGTTTAATTTTATTTCCTCTCATTATTTATTTTTTATTTTGATCCAAGAGAGAGAGATAAGGAAAGTGAGAAAGTAAGCCATCAGGTCCAGGATTCGGACTATAGTCAGCCATGTGGTGGTCCAGTGCCTTAACCACCACATTACCTGCTGGCCCCCTCAATTATTTTTAAGTTGGAAGAAAATACAAAATTGTCTTTTATCTGAACAAACAATATGGCATTTGTTTAATCATTTTCAAAAATAAGACTTAAAGTAGACATAATTTAGAATATACCCTGTGTGATATACCTATTCTTTGAAGGAGTTACAAGCTACTTCATTTACCATCTGCTGGCCACACATAGTCATGTTTTTTCTGTAAAGTGACTATAATGTGCTTTTATACCAAGTCGTCTGGCTTCTCTTTTTAAATGACATAAGCAAGAATGGTGATTAAAAAGTGTTATCTGAGCCAGCAGGTAGCATGGTGGTTAAGGCACTGAATTCCCACATGGCCAACTGTGGTTCCAGTCCCAGACCCGGTGGCATGCTATCTCTCTCTTTCTCTGAGAAAACTCATGTGAAAAACAATAAATAAATAAATATATAATTCTTTTTCTTTCTTTCTTTTTTTTGCTTTTTGTTTTTTGAGAGGTTTTTGTGATAGGGTGTGTGCGCTCACCAGACAGACAGAAAGCAAGAAATCACACCCCAGAGGGGATGACCACGCCGCAATCCCTCCTCCTTCATTTTCCTCTCGGGATCTTGGGCACGCACGCACATGTGCCTGGTGTGAGTTTGGTTGACTACATGGGAGTCCAGTGACATAGCCATTACGCTAACTGCTGGTCCCAAATAATTCTTTAAAAAAAAAAGTGTTACCCACATGACTATGAAGAATGTTTCACCTTGTTTTCCAATTTATATTCAAATCAATGTTTTTGACAGCTATAATCGTAAGTGAAATACAACTGCATCTTAATCTTTTTGTGTTTTACAGTTTCCATGCTTCTTTGTGACCTTCAAAACTATTTTGCCCCAAATTATTCTATAGGGTCCATCATGATGATGTTCCAAAATTAATATTTCCTTGTGTCTGGATGTTTAAGTTGATACACTCCTTTTCTGCTGTTACAGATACACATATTCCAGCCTTAATTTTCTTTTCCTGATAGGTGGTTGCAGATTAATTAACCTCACCTGAAAATTGATAGGTGGTGGTGGATTCTTAGGTTCTATCCTTACAACACTAGATTCCACTTTGGGGGGTGGTCTGAAGTTATTCTTTCCAACCTGTTAATCAGAAAATGTTTAGTCCTCTCAGATACAAACTTCAGTTAATAATCAGAGATGCTATTATCACATTAGGGATAGTTAAGATGCTCAAAGATGAGTTAAACTAGATTATTTCAATAATTAAAATCACTTACTTTCATTAGATGGTCCACACGTGCTAACAGCTGTGTATTAATTGAAAGTCTGCAGTATAATTTATCTCCAGGTTTTGCAACCAGTCGGAGAGCAAATTCTCTTTGAAACATAAGTATAGCACATCTAAAACCAGAAAGGACAAAAGGTAATGGTCATTTTTAACTAAATATACTTTAACTGTAACGAATTTTCTTGGGAAAGACCGCACAGTAATATCTGCAGTTAATGGAAATTAACGTAGCTGGTTAGAATTAAGATATGTTCGGGACCATCAGGTGGCATAAAGGCTATGTCGCTGGACTCCCATGTAGTCAACCACAGTTTGAGTCCCGGACCTGGTGGCTTAAACTCATACTGGGTGCGTGTGCGTACATGCCCAAGATCCCAAAAGGAGAATGGAGAATGGATTGCAGCGTGGCAACAATCCCCCCTGGGAGGTGATTTCTCGCTTTCTGTCTCTTATTTTTCTGGTGAGTGCATGCGCTCTATAGCAAAAACCTCTCCTAAAAAAAAAAAAAAAAAAAAAGAATAAGTAAGACATATTCAGCCTTATTACCACAAAATTAAACAACTACCTTTGTGTTTTGGTTAATGTTGGCTACGCCTCTAATCCCAAGAAAAATGCCTTACAAATAGAAGTCCTTAATGGTCAGATGGAAAATATTTTAGATAAGCACTAGTCCATCACTCCTCTCAAAAGAAAAAGTGACTCAGTTGGAGTTATATTCATGGAGTGGCAAACACCCTTGAGGAAGAGGTAAGGCTGGAGAGACAGGTTGTAATAGCCAGTGACCCCTTAACAGGTTAAAGAATGTGGTGTTTCTACTCAGCAACCAATGGGGAGGCTTTTAAAAGGCTACTGAACAGAAGAGCATCTTCAAAGGTTCATTTCCACGTTCAAACTTTTTTGACAATGAGTCACAGCCAGAAATACATTTGAATTTCTAAGGTGCTAGACTCCCAAATGGCCAACCATGGTTCAAGTCCTGGACCTTGAGAATTGAAAATCATGCTGGGTGCATGTGCATTTGTGCCCTAAATCCCAGGAGAATGGAGGAGAAAGGATTATGGTGTGGCTATTCTCTCCCCGCCACCACCGGGGGTCTATTTCTCACTTTCTCTGTTTCTATCTATCTAGCAAGTGCACGTACCCAGTAGCAAAAAAATCTCTCTTTAAAACAAACAAACAAACAAACAAACAAACAAAACTCTAAAAAAAATTTATGAGAGAAAGTGAGAGAGAGAGAGAATGCAAGCTACCAGGTCCAGGACTTGAACTATGGTCAGCCATGTGGGAGTCCAGTGCCTTAACCATCATTCCACCTGCTGGCCCCTAAACCGTCTCTTTCTAAAAGATTTTTTAAAGAATTATTTTATTTATTTAATTTTGTTACTTCTTATTTTTTAATTTGAGCAGAGAGAGAAAGGGAAAATGAGAAAGCAAGCCACCAGGTCTAGTACTCGAACCATTGTCAGTCATGGGAATCCAGCATCTCAACTATTACACCACAGCCAGCCCCACTCTTTCTAATATTTAGCAGTAAATAGCCTTTTGTCACAAACCTGAAAAAAGGTCGGTGCAGCAACAGTTTGAAAACAAAAGGAGAAGAAATCTGTAAGAGAATTAACTTGTTATTTCCAGGGAGACACAGCAGAGAAGCATTTAGTATGATGTTCCTGACAATTTGAGAACTTACCTGATAAGGCAAATTAGCCACACAAGCATCAAAGAATGGCAAATCTGTTTTCAACACATCACCCACCATTACTTGAAGTTTGCTGGCCAGAGGCCTGATAATAAGAAAGGAGAAATTATAAAAAGAATGTTGTTTTATGAGACTGAAATGCATTTTAATTCTTTTATGAATACTTACGTGCCCTGAACTCTTTTGTGAAGTTCAGCTACTAGCCTTGGGTCAAGTTCACAGGCAATTACCTAAAAAAAAAAAAAAAAAAAGTTTCTTGTGATTAATCTGAGTACAAATCTTTTGTTATGCTAATAATAGCTCTTACATGATTCGAAATTCTTTCCGCAAGTTCTTCCTTCAATATTCCTTCAATTGTAGGAAACAAAAATTTCAAACAAAAAACCCCCCAGATAAACAGATTATGAGACAGTTTTACCCAAATTATGGACAGAATTATCAATTTTCCTCTTTCTCCATGCTTTGTAGCTGAACTTACAATGAAAAAAATACACAATTTGCCTGTGTAGTTAATGTTCGTAGGGACAAACGAAATAACTGCTCCCAGAATTAGTTTATCACTTCTCTCATCGACTGAGATCCAAAATACACAGCATGGGTAACTTTTCAAGTAAATTGAAATGGATACCACATAAGGCTGAAATTGTAATTTTACTGCCGTATCCACTGAGGTTCACTGACAGCTAAGACGATGCACAGGGTAGGTAAGTGTGCTGCTTTTTCTGTTTGAAACCCATATCCATTCTCTTCTTTTCTCTGTGTTCTTTTTGTTTTTTTCAGCTTCTTTTATTTTTTTCTCTTTTTGGAGAGGTTTTTGCTATAGGGCACGTGTGCTTGCCAGACAGCCAGACAGACAGAGAGAAAGAGAGACAAAGTGAGAAATCACCCCCCAGGTGGGATGGCCACGCCACAGTCCCTTCTCCTCCGTTCTCCTCTCGGGATCTTGGGCACGCACGCACATGCGCCTGGCATAAGTTTTAAGCTACCAGGTCCGGGATGCGACCCGCGGTCGACTACAGGGGAGTCCAGCGACATAGCCATTATGCTAACTGCTGGTCCCGTGTTCTTGTGATAATGCAGTCAGCTCTTTTACCTCAACTTCTGACTGGGACTCACCAGTCAAAAGTACTAGCACAAGGGGCATGGTTGCCTACTTATTTTAAGGCCATGCACAAGTTTGGGCAGTGTCTGTGTTATGCTACAAATGGCTCTCTTTGAAGGTACCCAACCTCATAAATTCTGATAACACAATTCCCTCTCCTTTCCCAGGCCTTTAGAAAGGCAACTGCTTCCTGCTGTGGCTAGTCCCTAGTGTTTCACTAATACCTACTGGTTCCCTAACCTGGTTCCCTAACCTGGACATCTGTAAATTATCTGTCAGATAAGCCGTTTACAACGTGCAGCTTGCTTCCACCAGGGACATAACAATGGATCAGGTCATCCAAGACACAAAAGGTACCACCAGCAGCCAGGTGGCATACCAATCCCAGAAGCATGAGTTTTAGCTCTTTTTCCTCCGGAGTTCTGCATTCCAGTAACTCCAGCCTCTCTGCTTTGTTCCCCCTGATCTAGAGGTGATAAGTGCTCTTTCAAATTATTGTTTTTAGGGACCAGCAGTTAGCGTACTGGCTATGTCGCTGGACTCCCATGTAGCCAATCACAGTTCGTGTCCTGGACCCAGTGGCTTAAACTCATGCTAGGCGCGTGTGCATGCATGCCCAAGATCCCGAGAGGAGAATTGAGGAGAAAGGATTTGCGGTATGGCCATTGCCCCCTGGGGGGTGATTTCTCGCTTTCTGTCTCTCTGTCTCTCTTTCTGGAGAGTGCACATGCCCTATAGCAAAATCCTCTCCAACAACAACAAAAAAATAATTGTTTTTAGATTACCTCGCTATTCCCATTTTGTTCTTTTAGTCCTCTAGCAAACATAATAAATTATAATACATTCCCAGTTGAAATACTAATAATAATAATACCTAATAATGTGGTTTCTGTAGTTGAAATACCTAATAATATGGATTCTTTTTTCTCAACTCCCTCTCTCTCTTTTTCCCCAAGACAATGTCTCACTGTGTCCCAATCCCTCTGCCTCAGCCCCTCAGCTGGAACTACAGGAGTATACCATCACATCTAGTTCTTTTCTTTAAAAAGACAGCGTTTCACTATGTTGCCCAAGTGAACCTCAAGCTTGCAAAGAAATCTTCCTACCTTAGCCTCCCAGGTCCCTGGAATTACAGGTGGAGGCCACCATCTTGGCTTTAGGTGGACCAGTAATCAAACCCAGGCCTCCCATACAGTCCCAGCCTGTGGAGAACAGCATCATAGCACTGGGTGCCATCATGGCTGGGCCTATATTATTTTCTAAGATAAAATTTCTAGCAAGGGATCAAGAGTTACTATTCCACTAATACCAATTATTTGAAACAGATTTATATTTGTAAGCCACCTGCACCTGCCTGATCATTCTTGATACAAAAATCTCACATCCCCTTCTTACCTTTTTTGCCTTTTCTAACAATTTTACAGTCATGTTTCCAGTTCCAGGTCCAACTTCCAGCACCACATCAGTTGGTCTCAAGGCAGCCTATAAGCAAGCACAACCACTTTAACTCTTCTGGCACTTTATTTATTTAAGGTTTATTTATTTATCTTTGCCAGAGGGTGTGTGCACTTGAGAGAGAGAGAGATAGTGAAGAAGCACCCTCCATTGAGGATGGTCTCACTACAGTCCCCTCCCCTCCATTTCTCCCTCTTTTTGGGATGTTGGGCAAGCACACACTTATCCCTGGCATGTTTCTCAAGCTTCTGGGTCTAGGACTTGAACTGTGCTGTTGGCCATATGGGATCCAAATGCCTTACCCACCAGACCAGTACTGCCCTTACTATCTGTTTCTTCTGTGCAAGACAGAGATAGACAGTCACCAACAACGTCTTCATGCAGTGATACACCACTTCCACAACCCCTTCAACGTGCTCAGGGAAGTCCTGGGACACCAAACCAAGATCTTATCCATGAGGGTCCATGTGTTACTCCTGTGCCACCACCTGGCCCACTGAGCACACCATTTAATTGACACCTGAATATCTCCACTCATATAGATGCTCAGTTAAAAGGTCTTACTCTGCGGGGAAAAAAGATCTTACTCTGACAACATTTTTAGTAGATTTCTCATAGTATCTGTGGTAAACAAAAATCTAAGCCCTTAGGGCCAGGAGGTGGCATGGTGGTAGCTAAGACACTGGACACACACATGGCTGACCACAGTTCGAGTCATGGACCTAGTAGCTTGATTTCTCACTTTCCCTCTATCTTTCTGTGGTAAGCACACATGTTCTATAACAAATTTTAAAAAATAATAATTAATATAAAAATTAAATAATTCTTAATGAAAAAAAAAAAAAAACACAAAAACTAAGACCTCTCCGGACTAGGGGAATACTACTCAAATTTAGGGGTCAGAAAGCAGGAAGCAGCAGTTCTTTCTGGGGCTGGCACTCTGCATTCTATTTTGGAAAGTATTCCCAATAGCCTCTTATTGCAAACTGTCTCTATCAACATCTTCAAATGGGAAAGAACTGTAAATGATGAACTCGCCAGAGATCATAGTATGTTAGACCAGGAATTCTCAATTCTCAACCTATGTTTGGTTTCAAGGATGCAGGAACATGAGAAATTATACACAAAACTGGGTGTGTGGAAGCACGCAACTGCAATATTCTAGGTCCACAGCTTTTATCATATGTCCAGAAGAATCCATGAGCTAAAAAGGTTAAAAAAACTATGCCAACCCTCATTTTGCAAATAACATTTTTTTTTTTTGGAGAGATTTTCACTGTAGGGCGCGTGCGCTCGCCAGACAGGCAGAGAGAGACATAGAGACAGAAAGCGAGAAATCACCCCCCAAGGGGGATGGCCACGCTGCAATCCCTTCTCCTCCATTCTCCTCTCGGGATCTTGGGCACGCACGCACACACGCCCGGCGTGAGTTTTAAGCCACCGGGTCCGGGACACGAACCGCGGTCGACTACGTGGGAATCCAGCGACATAGCCATTGCGCTAACTGCTGGTTCCCGCAAATAACATTTTAAGGAAGATCTTGTTTGTGACCAGCAGTGGTGTGGTGGTTGGTGTACTGGATTCCCACATGGCCAATCAGGATCTAAGTTCTGGACCTGGTGGCTTGTTTCTCACTTTATCTCCCTCTGGTGACTGCATGTGTCCTGCAGCACATTAAAAAATAATAATAATAGGGAACCAGCAGTTAGGGTAATGGCTTATGTCATTGTACTCCTGCGTAGTCAACCGCGGTTCACGCCCCGGGCCCAGTGGCTTAAAACTCACGCTGGGCACGTGTGCGTGCGTGCCCAAGATCCCAAGAGGAGAATGGAGGAGAAGGGACTGTGGCGTGACCATCCCCCCTGGGGGGTGATTTCTAGCTTTCTGTTTCTCTGTCTCTGTCTGGCGAGCACACACGCCCTATAGCGAAAATCTCTCAAATTAAAATTATCCACTTAATTTTTATTTATTTATTATTATTATTTTATTTATTTATTTTTTTGGAGAGATTTTCGCTATAGGGTGCATGCACTCACCAGACAGACAGAGAGAGACAGAGACAGAAAGCGAAACATCACCCCCCAGGGGGGATGGTCACGCCGCAGTCCCTTCTCCTCCATTCTCCTCTTGGGATCTTGGGCACACACGCACACGGCGTGAGTTTTAAGCTACCGGGTCCGGGACGCGAACCACGGTCGACTACACGGGAGTACAACGACATAGCTATTACCCTAACTGCTGGTTCCCAGGTGGATAATTCTTTTAAAAAAATATCCTGGGGACTGCAGGTGGCTTAGTGGTTAAGGGACTCCCACGTGGACAAGCGTGGTTCGAGTCTCAGAACTGGCAGCTTTCTCTCTCTTTCTCATTCTGTCCCTCTCTGGTCAAATTAAAAAAAAATAAATCAAGTTAAATAAAATACTTCTTTAAAAGAAAAAATAGATCCTGTATGTAATGCTTTTTCTATATAGCTCCAGGATGCTTGCCTGCTTGTACTGCTTATATTTCACTTCCCAGCACCAAACTATCCATAACAATAAGAGAATATCAGTAAACCATGTAGAAAGAATACTCCGAATAATTTATATGTAGTACCACGTAAATTTTTCTGGGGAACAAACTCCTAATATGTGGTTTAAACATAAATCTTAGACAGTGGAGTAAATAAAAACTAAAGGTGATATAGTGCCGAGAAAAAATGATTAGGAATAGAATTAAAAATTTGGGTCCCAGAGAAACCCAGACCCACGGAATTAAGAGTACTGTGCAGAAGAGAACCTGTGAATTTTAGACAGTACTCTACTTCATTTAACAGATAATTAACAGAGCGTTTATTTTATGCGAGGCACCCTGCCTGCACTTAAGCATTCCTAAGAATCAAATTAATGACCCAATAACTTTTTTTCACACCTACCTTGTCGATAATGCTGTTAACGATGAGAGGATTTTTCAAAATATGCTGCCCAATCCCCGTGTTGAACATGAGTCCTAGAACAAGCCAAGAAAAAAGCCTTAATCTCACAGCTAAGAGTAGATATTAGACCGTCCCATAGGACAAAGCAAGAAGAGTAAGGGTAGATTTCTGCGCCAACGAGGGCCACCAAACGTCACGCTCGGGCCAGGAGTGGCATACCATTTCAAGTCCACCCCTTCTGCCGCGAAGGGCTGGCAGCGGGCGTTCCGGAGCCCCGGAGTTCCGCGCTCACGGGAGCACAGGTCTGGACTGACCTCGAGCCGCATTCTAATCTCGGTGGTCTGCACCCTGGGATCAATCCCGCCAAAGTCCAGACCCGACCCCGACTTCCTCCTGGCCGTCCCCACCTCCTGCGCCCTTCAGCTCTCGGCGCTGTTCCTGGCGCTCACGGCGGGCCCCACTGTGGGCCCCTCGCCCCACCGGCGGCCGCCACTCACTCCCTTCTTGACCTTCGGCATCTCCGCAGGAAGCGGGCCCACCGGCCCGGGAAGTCACGGAGGACCAGATCGGACTCCCCAGAGTCACCACATCACCACGTGGGAATCGCCGCTAGGCATTTCACAACCAGCACCCGGTCAGGCAGACTCCCCAGCAATTCCAAAAAGAAGGCCGGCCCCGGAGCACAGTGGCTGCCGGGAGTTGTAGTGATTGGCTGAAGGAGAGCCCGCACTCAGAAGCCTACATATCCCAGAAGACACCGCGCTACCGAGTCTGGCAGTTCTGATGGGCTGGTTTACAGAGGGGGCGGGGCTTCTCGCACAGTCGCACACTGAGCTAGGTAAGAAAATTTAAGCACGTGATGCAGTTCTTCCGGGCAGGCTGCGAGGTCACTGAAATGTGAAGTTACTGCATGTGCCTGGTTCCTGAATTCCTGCAGACTGTGGGGTGGGAAACCCAGGATTTTAGAATGAGGAATTTGCGGCTCTTTAAGGGAATGCGTTTCTCCGCTGCTTGGGTGGTGGACGGAAACTTCGAGAAGGAATTGGCCTCTAGTTTTACAGCTCCTGGCAGCTTGACCTCCTTCTGTGCCTCGTCATTCATTCTTTAAACGTTTATTGAGCCTTGGCTGTTAATTAGGAATTCTGGAGATTCAAAGTTAAGAAACTGCCTCCACAGTTGATTCCACTGAGAGAGATTGACCAAAAGTCCAGAGGCGCTATAAATGTAATAGGTATGTACTGGGTGTAGGCAACTGGACAGTGTGCCTGGTAAAAGGTCCATGGCTGTTTTGTCTTCCAAGTAATGACTCAGTTTCTAATTCTTCTGTATGTACACTTGCTGAAGAAACGGTTTCTTCCTGTCATTACTAAATCTGACTTTTCCTTGAGTAATTAATTGTGCAAATTCCCAAACCTTGGTTTTAGCTCCCCTTTTTTTGGCTATAATTCTAACTCAAATTTCACATACTGAAGCAGCATCTTCAACTATCTCTTCATTCCATCAATTATTAGTTTATCCCACAATTCTGGAGTGTCTGCAGTGTAGCAGACACTGCCTCAAATATTAGGAATAAAGGATGAGCCTGACAGGATCTCTGTTTTTAAAGAACTTCCTGTCTAGAAAGAGATGCAAATTATTAGAATAATAGCTATCAGTGGCTGAGGATGTACCTGGTACTTCATAGGTATGTTATCTCTTTATCCCTTTGAAACAGTTCTCCAATAGGTCTTGTTATATTAATAAATGAGGAAACCGAAGGACATGTGTTTAATAACTTGCTCAAGGTTATGCAGGAGAATGATAGCTGCATCTTTTTTTTTTTTTTTTTGAGAGGTTTTTGCTGTAGGGCTCATGCGCTCGCCAGACACAGAGAGAGAGACAGAGAGATAGAAAGCGAGAAATCACCCCCCAGGGGGGATGGCCATGCCTCAATCCCTTCTCCTCCGGGGATCTTGGGCACGCACACGCACCCGGCGTTAGTTTAAGCCACGGGGTCTGGGACTTGAACCGCGGTCAACTACATGGGAGTCCAGCGACATAGCCATCACGCTTACTGCTGGTCCCAAGCTGCATCTTGAGACTAGGTCTGTAGTTCAAAGACTGTGCTTTAAAAGAGGTCTGATCATGGGACCAGCAGTTAGCGTCATGGCTATGTCGCTGGACTCCCATGCAGTCAACCGTGGTCCGGGTTCCGGACCAGGTGGCTTAAACTCACCCTGGGCGCGTGTGCGTGGGTGCCCAAGAAGAGAATAGAGGAGAAGGGATTACGTAGTGGCCATTCCCCCTCGCTTTCTGTCTCACTGTCTCTCATTGTCTTTCTGGCGAGCGCATGCGCCCTGTAGCAAAAAAAAACCTCTCCAGATTAAAAAAAAAAAAAAAGGTCTGATCACAACCCTATAGCTGGTATTTTAGGAGATTGGGAATCATTTTCAATATATCATAATATTTCTGAGGCCAGCAGGCAGTGTGGTGGTTAAGCCACTGGATTCCCACATGACTTATTGCAGTTTGAGCTCTAGACTGGGAGTGTGAAAATCACATCTGGTGTGTGTGTGTGAATGCCAAAGATCCTGAGAGAAAAGAGAAGGGATTGTAGTGTGCCCATTCCCCCAGGGGGGTGAATTCTCACTTTCTCTTTCTCTCTCTCTCTGGTGAGCACACTCACCTTATAGCAAATAATAATAATTTAAAATAATCTTTAAAAGACAAAGGGAGGTTGAGGATCCAGAAAAAACAACACTTAACAAAGCCAAGATATAAAGATGTTTAATAAAGAAAAAGAAACTTTAGTTTTTCCCACTATACAAGATGGCAGGTGAAAAAGCTACAAAGCAACATACTAAGGAGAAGAAACCTGTAGCCAAGAAGGTTAATGCCAGTGGCAAGGTTAAAAAGGGTGACCCCAAGGCTAAAAAGCCCAAGAAGGGGAAATCCCATTGTAGGTGAAACCTGGTCCTAGTCTGGGGCATTGACAGAAACTCCTGATCTGCCATGTATTCCAGGAAGGCCATGTACAAGAGGAAATACTGGGTCACTAAATCCAGGATGGAAAAGAAGGAGAAGGTTTTTGCCACTATCACAAAACCAGTTGGTGGAGACAAGAATGGTGGTACCCAGGTGGTTAAACTGTGCAAAATGCCTAGGTATTATCCTACTGAAGATGTACCTTGAAAGCTGTTGAGCCACGGCAAAAAACCCTTCAGTCAGCATGTGAGAAAGCTGCGAGCTAGCATCACTCCTGGGACCATTCTGATCATCCTCACTGGACGCCATAGAGGCAAGATTGTGGTTTTCCTGAAGCAGCTGAGCCGTGGCTTGCAATTTGTAACTGGACCACTGGTTCTCAGTTGAGTTCCACTATGTAGAACATACTAAAAATTTGTCATTGCTACCTCCACAAAAATTGATTTTAGCAAAGTAAAAATCCCAAAGCACCTTATCGCTGCTTATTTCAAGTAATAGAAACTGTGGAAGCCCAGACACCAGGGAGGTGAGATCTTCAACATAGAAAAGGAGAAATACAAGATTTCAGAGCAGTGCAAGGTTGATCAGAAAGCTGTGGACTCACAAATTTTACCAAAAGTCAAAACTATTCTTTAGCACCAGGGCTACCTACTATCTGTTTTTGCCCTTACAAATGGAGTTTATCTCACAAAGTGATGTTCTAAATTTTGTGCAAGAACCTAATTAAATAGCTGATTTTATATTTTATATATATATATATATATGTATGTATGTGTGTGTGTATATATGAAAAAAAAAGCTTTGTATATATGGGGAGTAGAGAAGTTAGACAAATAGGGAATTATTGTGAAAGTCTAAAATGTCTATGCCAAGGGAGCAGTAGTGATCATTGAGGAACCAAAATAACCATTTTATCTTCTCTACTCCTCTCTCCAGGCTGCACATTTACCTGGGTAAAGAACACTGCCTGGCCAGCATTTCTTGAACTCTCTCTAATCTCTTCCATTATCCATAAAGGGGCATCTAACTTTCCTAATTCTCTGGTCCTCTGTCCTATTACCTTCCCAACTCCTTTGAGCAGAAAAACTTGCAGTTTACATCACAAAAGAAATTACAAGGTTTAACAAAAGGACATGCTCATTCTCCTGGGCTATGTTGTAGCCACTGTCTTACACTCGGATTATACAGTAATAAGCAAAACAAATGGAGCTTACTTATATTGTAGTGGGGAATGAGGCCAGCAGGTGAGCATGGTGGTTAAGGCGGCTGGACTCCCACATGGTTGACTGCAGTTCAAGTCCCAAACCTGGCAGCTTGCTTTCTCACTTTCCTTCCTTCTCTCTGTCTCTCTCTGGTCAACTTCAAATAAATAAATAAAATAATGACAATAAATAATTATTTAAAAAATATTCTAATGGGGAGAACAGTCACTATGCCAGGTAGTGATTAAGTGTGAAGAAAATATGAAGTAGAAAAGGCAAAGATCAACAGGGTGGGTAGGGTAGGCTTCTTTGTATTGGTTGGTCTGGAAAGGCTCCCCACATGAGAGTGATTTGATCAAAGACCTGAGAGGAGGGATGACCCAGTAGCCTAGTGTTTAAGGAAGGTGTATTTTACGTGGCCAACCGTGGTTTGAATCTTGGCTTTGGCAGCTTGAAAAACACTTCAGACATGATGCATGCCCAAAATCCTGATGGGGAGGAAAAATGGACAAGAAGGGATTTTGGCATGACATACACGGCCCATTGGGGGGTGCTTTCTCCCCCACTTCTGCGTTTCAGTCTCTCTGATGAACACCTATGCCCTCTGCAATTGAAAAAGAAGAAAAAAAAAAAGGCAGCATAAATGTGGACATCACTCACATCCCTTTTTCTTTTTCTTTTTTTTTTTTTTTGAGAGGTTTTCGCTATAGGATAAAATATCAGACACTTTGTAGCCAAAATATGACCAATTATCTCCACAATTACTGAGATAAATAATCCATAAAGTTTTTTAATGTAATTTAAGAGATATCTTAGTAAAAATGTTTAACAAAGTTTTTCACTGGAAGTATTTTAGATGAAAATTTTACTTAATCTTTGTCATTAAATTGAAGAAATCATATGATTGAGAGAATGCTTAGTCTTAATGTGGTGGTTCCCCCCTCCCTTTTTTTTTTTTTTTGGAGAGATTTTCACTGTAGGGCGCGTGCGCTTGCCAGACAGACAGAGAGAGACATAGAGACAGAAAGCGAGAAATCACCCCCCAGGGGGGATGGTCACGCCGCAATCCCTTCTCCTCCATTCTCCTCTCGGGATCTTGGGCACGCACGCACACACGCCCGGCGTGAGTTTTAAGCCACCGGGTCCGGGACACGAACCGCGGTCGACTACGTGGGAGTCCAGCGACATAGCCATTACGCTAACTGCTGGTTCCCCCACATCCCTTTTTTTAACACTAGCAATTTCTGTTACAATAACTGAGGGATAGTAAATGTGGAAAGCATGAAAGAATTGTGAGTGAAAAAGTATAGTGATACCAGGGCCAGTAGGTGGTGTGGTGGTTAAGGGTTCTCGATTCCAGATGGCTGGCCATCGTTTGAGTCCTGTACCTGGTGGCTTGCTTTTTAACTTTATTTCTCTCTCTCTCTCTCCCTCTTTCTCTCTGCTCCTCTCTGATCAAATTAAAATATGTAAAATGAATAGACAGTTAAATAAAATATTTTTTTTAAAAAGTATA